TGCTCTGATGTGCCAAGCAATGGGCTTCATTTGAACTATCTGAGTTAATCCTCATGATAACCTTGTCAAGTCATGACCTATGACCCTCATTTTTTAGGTGCCACATGATAACTTTTCCTCTCAATTACTGCTTCCTACTAATCTCATGAACCACATGTTAAGAATCTGCATTGCTGGGACCTACCCTCAGGGGTTCTTTGTCATTCAGTCTAAGATAAGACTCACAGAATTTATATACATATGTATATAAAGTAGTCCCCACAGTGACTCAGATGCTACCTCCTGGGGTTTCTGTAAGCATCTGCTTACTGTCTGACAGTGGAATGAGCCTCCTTCAGCTCAGAGGCTCTCCAGCTGCAATGCACAATAGAATCACCTGGAAAGCTTTAAACATATACATGCGTAGGCCCCAGATCAATTAAATCTGAATCTGTGGGAGTTGGGCTTGGGCAAGGGTGGCTTTAAAAGCTCCCCAGTTGAATCAAAAGTCTAGACAGGAAGTGACAGCCATCACTTCAGCCAACGGAGACTGTAAACCATGAGAGCATTGCTATAAAATAATAGAAAAAAAGATTGATCTCTGTCCCCCATTTCAGGCACAGAGCTTCTCAAACTCTTGTAATTTTTCCTGAGTGATAAAAGCACTAGGATCATCTTTTGTTTTAATATTTGGTCTCTGTTCCTGGTGCCTAACACAGAGCTCCTAAATCCCTTAGAATTTCCTGGGTGATATGCACATCTTTTGTTCTAATGAGGTGACTCCCTTGGGCTCCTGGATGGCTTCAGACTGGGGGTTGGTCAACCAGAAAGACCAAGCCATGATGAGAAGCTTGAAAGCTTGGAAATCTCAACCCCTCTCCCATGTGCTTGGAAGGAGAAAGGGGCTGGAGAATGAGTTTAATTATTAATCACGTCTGGGTGATGAAGTTTCTGTAAAAAATCCCCAAAGTTCAGGGTTAGGGGAACTTCTGGGCTGGTGAACACACACCCACATGCTGGGATAGTGGTGTGCCCCAATTCCACAGGGACAGAAGCTCCTGCACTGAGGATCTTCCCAGACCTCACCCTGTGAATCTCTCCCTCTAGTTATTCATCTGTATCCGTTCTCATTCCCTTTATCATATAATAAGCTGGTAAATGTGTTTCCCTGAGTTCCGTGAGCTGTTCTAGCAAATGACTAAATCCAAGGAGGGGGTGGTGGGAAACTCCAATTTGTAGCCGAGTCAGCCAGAAGTTGTGGGAGCACGGGGGACCTGCTGCTTGTGACTGCTGTCTGAAGCTGGGCAGTCCTGTAGGACCAAGCCCTCACCCTGAACCTGTGCTGACTCCAGGCAGTTAGTGTCAGAACTGCTTGGTGTGGAAAACCTACCCATTAGGCATCAGAAGCATTGTGAGTTGATACCAGCCTGAGGACAAAGAAACACTGAGAGCTTTTTGTTAGACAATTGCCTAAAGAAAATACATAACAGTGGCCATTAGTCACCTTACCACTAGTAAGTAAAGGCGCTCTTGATGAATCTTCCCCAAGATAAAAACACTAAGAATATAGTACAATAAAAAAACTAAAGCTAGAACTACCATATGATCCAGCAAGTCCACTCTTGGGTATACAGCTGAAGAAAACGAAAACACTAATTTGAAAAGACACACACACCTCAATGTTCAAGGCAGCACTATTTACAAATAGCCAAGACACGGCAGCAACCTATCATCAAAGAGAACACAAATAACACATGTTCGAAAGAATATGGAGAAAAGGGAATCCTTGTACACTTGTTGATTGGAATGTAAATCGGTGCAGCCACTCTGGAGAAAAGTATGGAGCTTCCTTTAAAAGCTAAAAATAGAACTGCCATAGGACCCAGCAATTTTGGGTTTTGAAAAAAACCCCAAAACACTAATTTGAAAAGATACGTGCACCGCAATATTCATAGCAGCATTATTTACAATTGCCAAGATAGGGAAACAACTAAGTGTCCATCAACAACAGATGAATGGATAAAGAAAATGTGGTGTACATATACACAATGGAATACTACTCAGCCATAAAAAAGAATAAAATGTTTCCATTTGCAGTAACATGGATGGACTTAGAGGGCATTAAGCTAAGTGAAATAAGTCAGACAGAGAAAGACAAATACTGTATGATAATACTTACATGTAGAATCTAAAAAATACAACAAACAAATGAATATAAGAAAACAGACTCACAGATACAGAGAACAAACTAGGGGTTCCCAGTGGGGAGAGGAAAGGGGTGAGGGGCAAGAAAGGGGTAGGGGATTGAGAGGTACAAATCACTGTGTATAAAACAGATAAACAAGAAGGATCTATTGTATAGCACAGGGGAATATAGCCATTATTTTGTAATAACTTTACATGGAGTATAATCCATAATACTATTGAATCACTATGCTGTACACTAGAAACTAATAAAATATTGTAAATCTACTAGACTCCAACGAAAACAACATTTCCCATTTGCATTATATAGTATTTGCAGCACCCTTTCACAAATACCCCCTTATTTAACCGTTATACTCCTGGGAAGCTATCCTCTGCAGCCTATGAGAGAATGAAAGACTTCCTCAAAAATCCTCCCTGAGCAAAATTAGTTACTCCCTGCTCTTTCTTTAAAAATTCAGTTTGTTTTCTTCCCCAGCAGGGTGTGAGCTCCTGCGTGTCCCTTTAAACCAATCTTGCTTGCCAGTGTGGATGGGCCTAGTAGTAGGTAAAGCTGCCAAGGAGATGGTAAGTTCTGTCTGGGACTCCTTCAGTCTACGTTGGTCTGGTGCAGCTAATTTTTGCTTCCATTTTCCCTGCCTTTCTCAAGCTCCCTAGCCTGGTTATGTAGACAGCTAACTGGTCAACCTGGCCTCCTAGGTCAGCGGCCTAGTTAGACTTACCATCCCGGTATCTTCTTCAACAAATGCATTCCAGACCCACTTGTGGGAATGACCTGCTGGCTGCAGACAGACTGTGTGGGCCATAGGCATCTGTCCTCTGTGCTAACCAGCCTGGCTTGGCCAGAGACAAACTATGGACAAGCATGAGGTGTGATTAGCCTTTGAGTCCTAGTTGCCTACCCAGGGCCGGGCACACAACCGCTATTCAGTGAGGGTCTGATGAACTGGTGAAATAGGAATATATTTTTTTTCCAGGTCTGGTAGCCAAAAATTCAATGTTCTCTTCAGCACACATATCACATGAAGGGAGGTCCTAAAAAAGCCCCCTGATGTGGGGCTGGCCCGCCCTGCTCACTTGGTTTAGAATCTTGATTTTTATGTAACTTGATGAAATGGAGAAATGACAAATAGGAGATAGAGTGGGAGACAGAGGTAAGAAGCTAGGACTCCCAAACTCTTCGTAATCAGCAACAAATAAGACAGACTGATCCTGACCAAGGAATTACCCCCAAACACCAAGCTCCTTGAGATTTGACTCTAAACCAAGACTTCAGAAAAATCATCAGACGGACAAGCAACCACGCTAGTTATCGCCTGCATCTCCCCTGGGGGAGATTTTCCCCTCAGAATTGTTTCAGAGTCACCATTTGTCATTGGAAACATTGTGCAGACTTTTCAGATTGTTGTCAAATTCGGGAAGTCTTCTCCCAAGTTTCTTTTATAGATGATCCATTACAGGCATATTTGCTGTTTATAGTAAACCTATAGATATGTGCCCTTCAAACACAAGAATTCTGGAAAAAAAACCCCACCTCATTTCTAGAAACCACTTGAATGGTCTTCATCCTGTCTGCCACAGGGCAGATGAAGATGCAGGAGTGGGGGCTCTGGGAGGGCTGTGCCTCCCTGAAGTCAGGGCTCCTGGGCACGTCTTCCCAGGAGCTGTCGCTTCAAGGCAAATCGGGTTTGCCAGGAGGGGGGTGGGGGATGGGGAGCTACGTAGTCCTGTGTTGTTTAGCCATTACGGTTCATTAAGGGAGTCTATGCTGCCAAATTACACCCCAAAATACAAAGGCCAGCTGTGCCTGCTTGCTTCCAAGCAGTATGGGGAGCCAGCTAACAAAGAGAGGGCCGAAACCACTCAAGCTGACTTAGGGAAATTAAATGCAGTACCAAAAGCCGTCATCTGTGGAAGGGCTAGTGACACCTTCCTTCCAGAACCAGGGCAGGGGCGGAGCCACCCCTCTGCTAATTTGCCTTCACCCTCCTTGGCCAGTCTGGTTCCATCCTCTCAGGTGGGGCTGCGCTGTCAGGACTGAAGCCCCCACCCCACTCCCCCGTAGCTGGCAGGGGCCTGGCTTAACGCCCGGGTCTGGACAGATGGACAGGAAAGCAGACTCTGGTTTCCCCCTTTTTAAGAACTCTGGAGCCCTTGCCAATTGACTCAGAAGGGCCACCTTTCTGCAGAAAGCTTTCCTTCTTTCTCACATTTGAGAAGAGGCTGTGTGTGGATGTCTGACTTCAGAGGCTGCTAGGGAAGCCACCCGAGTGGGGGGAGGTAAGAATGGGGACCCGATGTGTTGCTCAGCACTCGTCCCTCCTCCCCTCCTGTCCCCCTACAGCCAACATCCCTCATCAGCTTGTCGCTACCCCTGCATCCTCCCCCACCTCCACACACACACACACACACACACACACACACTTTGAGAAGGCAGCATTTCTTGAGAGAGGAGCATGAACTGGTGGAATGGGCATTCTCATCTCTGCACCAGGAAAACCTGGGTGTAAATCACAGGGCTCTGTCATTTGCCAGCTGAGTAACTGAACAACCTGCGTCCTTCCCTATTTCAACAAGCTCATCCCCCAGGGGTGACATACACACCTACGTTGCTGGGTTATCTGAAAAACCGAATCAGGTCCTGCTTACAAAGCACCTCTCCCAGTGCCTGGCACCTCGAAGGTGCTGCACCACGGTGAACCCCTCCCCTCATTTATTACACATACTACCCGAGTGACCACCTTTACGCCCCTTCCCCAGCATTCCCCATGGATTGCTCATGCTGCAAAGAAACAGAAGAGGGCTTCTGGTCCCACCTGGTAGACAGCCCTGGAGATGCACCACGGCTTCAGCACCAGTTGCAGACCCCGCAGGTTCCCTCCTCGGCATGTCCTCAGCGCCCGGCGAGTCAGGCGCCATGCCAGCCGGTCCCAGCTACTCAGCAGGTCCTCGGAGCCCAGCGGCCCTGCAGCCATGCCAGCCCCTGGCCCCGCCTCTGCCCCTCGGTCCCAGGCCCCACACGCAGGGCTGTGTTCTTTCCCAAAGTTCAAATGTCACTAAGATGTAATCAGCCCGGGAAAAATGTGATCAAAATAACTCTGTCTTGTTCCTGTCTCCTCGCCCCCACCTTCCCTCACCACCACCCTCACTCATCTTCAGGGACTGTTTTCCCTCAAGGAGTAGCAAATGGCTCCTAAATTAAAATGTGGTCTCTCTGCCTGCGGGAACTCCCCAGAGATGAGGTAAAACTGAGCCTTCCTTCCGCAGATAATGGCACTGGGTGGACGGAGGCGGACACCCTGGCTGACTCCGGGGCAGGTCAACAGAGCTTGGGGAGGAACGTGAACCCGGAGCCATCACTGTGTTCCTGCGGCTCCGGGATTCCATCCAGGGTGAGAAGCAAAGGGGACGGATTTGCAGCCTCCCTGCCAACATTCCCAAGGCATTCCATCTAGTCTCTTAACTCTTTAAAACTTCGCGAATCAGAGGTTTTTTTTTTTTTTTTGCACAGCGAAGCAAAAAGTCCAGGTTTAGATCAACCCCGGAGAAGCTGCTATTTCTGTGGGCAATTTGTAAAAACCCAAGGCATGGACTTTGAAAATTTCCCAAGTTTAGGTTAGGAAGAAAAGGGCAGTGGGAAAACTTATCTATTAGATTTAACATCCACATCTGCGATTTTGGAGGAAAGCGGGTAAAAGCGGGTAAAGGGAGTCTCTCCTTCTTCCCCAGGGTGGGCCATCTTCTATAAGTGCTCTGTGACCTTATCACGTCATGGGAAGGACATCCAGTTAAAGAACAGCTATTTGAGGTGTCAATCAAGTTCTTTTGAGTTTTGATTATTGTTTATTATTATTATTTATTATGATTGTTGTTTTGCTTATTTTTTTAACCATGTTTCATAAGGGCATCTGTATCCTAATTCAATTGATGATACACCAAAAGATGAGACTCCAGAGGGAGGAGGGGAGGGAATTGGCGGCAGAGGATTAAGACAAGACGACCTGTACAGTTAAGGGAAGAGCGTGTTTAGTCTCAATATCGTTTTGAGTGCAGGGTAGTTACTGAGGCATATTTGCCTTCTGCACATTCTTTTGATTGATTATCTTGTCTCTCCAACTTCAACCTTTAAGATCAACAGAAAAGTGGTAGAACACAATGCACACAGCTCGCAACACTAACTCCGGGAGTGTCCTGAAGTCAGACATGAGGGAGTCTGAACTCGCCCCTACCACTGTGTGACCTTAGACAGATTACCTTCTCTGACTTAGTAGATCTTTATCTGTGAGATGGGATTCCCATCAACCTCCCAGGGCTGTTGTGGGGATTAAGTCACCAGATGTGAATAATGCAGGGTGTGGCGTATATTTGATTTTAATTTTTTTGAAGCATTTGCCATGATTAGATAATTCAAGGATATTATCTACTACTGAGAGACGAAGACTCTTGAGATCATTTCAAAATTGATATTTCTCTAAATCATCTTCTCTGGATCCCCTTTTCCCTTTTGCTAGAGGATCCATGCACTAATTAACTTCATGAATAGATGAAGGTTATTTTCATTTAAACTCTTCTTTGCTGAGTTTTATCATTTTCCGCTGAGTAATGGCTCCATGGATAAAACTGCGTGATTTCATTCCTGAGTAGTATTCCTTTATTTTCACACACCCCGTAGTAAAGGATCGGGGTGGGGGTTACTAAGGAATCTTGTCTTTTTATAAACATTCCATCAGCAGAGATAATTTTTCAAGAAAGAAGGGAGGGAGGGAGAGAGGGAGGGAGGGAGAAAGAAAGAAGAAAGAAAGAAGGAAAGAAAGAAAGAAGGAAAGAAGGAAAGAAAGAAAGAAAAGAAAGGAAAAGAAAAGAAAAGAAAAGAAAAAGAAAGAAAGAGGAAGGAAGGAAGGAAAGAAGGAGAGAGAAAAAGAAAGAAGCTAAATTAAAAAAGAAATAGGGTGTGGAAAGTGATTTTCCATTAACATTAGCTAACCGCCTTGGTATTTTCAAGAAAAAAGCAAAGGCAAGCTCTATCGTGGTTGGCTTTTGCCTCTGTCCCGAGGCTCACGCTCTCCATCCTTTGGGGATTTTGGCTGTGAACCAGCCTCTTATCCAGAGCATGTAATTATGGACTAGTTGGGGACAGTTTTAAAGGCACTGTTTTACTCTCTGATTAAATAATGTGACTTTAAAAATTTTTTAAAAAGTGAAATATATACTTAGCTTATGGTCTTGGAATCTTTTAAGTCGAAAGGTGCCATAATAAGCTTTTTTAAAAAAATGCCTGAATATAAACATATTAATTCTTGAGAACAGCAAGACCTACTCAAACTGCCCTGATGTCTTTACCACACAAGGGCACAGGGACGTCCTCTGGGGACACTTGCTCTGGATCTGCAGTCTGAGTCTGGCAGTAGCAGCAGGTGTCTTTGAGCCCACAGAAGCACAGGTGACAGGGACAGGGTGTGCCTGAGTGCCGGTGGAGGAGGCTACCCAGTTTCCTGGGCCCTGTCTCTTTAATCCTGTCTCTGATTCTGCCCTGGACTTCAGGTTGCTAATTCAGACATTCGCAGGGCAGCATCTGAGATGAGAGCCTATGCGTGCAAATAGCACCACTACTATTGACCATGATGCTTTAAAAAGGGATTTATCATGCTTGGGGCAGTTAGATACAGATGTGCTATGTCTGTGTGTCTGTGCGTCTGTGTGCGTGTGGGTACGTGTGTCTGTGTGTGTGTGCGTGCACCCTCATTTTACAGAGAAGGAGGTCAGAGTGACCTGTCCAGGTGGCACGGACATTGCAGTGGTGCTGGGATGTGACACCAGGCTCACTAGGCAAGCCAACGACCTGAATTTGTCTTACTGACTCCCAGCTCCTTTTAAGTACTTTCTTTATTTTTTCTTCAAAAATAACAGAAAATCGGGGTTTTTCTAGGTGGTTTGCCACTTAGGCTGTTGATCACTTAACCTAAAGAGTAAAGAATCAGTGACCTGCTGGGTGTGAAGGGAGGAACATCATAAGATACCGGGAGGATGTAACCAAGAGCGGTTCTGCATTGTCCCTCCTTTCACGAGTCCAGGCATTGATTGAGTCAGTTGCTGCGTGTCTGCCTACTGTGTGCTCTGGAGTGGCATCAATGGTAGGAAGGAAGGCTGGGATCTGTGGCTGCACATTTGGGAAGGGAATCGAACCTGGGGACTCTAAATCCAGGGCTGACCCTGTGGGGAGGCAAGCGTCGTGAAGCCAGGAGTTCCTGCCCCGGACAAAGGCAGGAGAGGCGGGTGGGACCTCGAAGTGCACATGGGGCCATGCAGGGCCCTGACTGGGCACCCCTCTCCTGGCTGCTCCCACCTGTGGCCCCACTATCTCAATCTCATGCCTTTGGGTTTTCCATCCCTGCTCCCAGACTCTCCTTTACTGTTTTTGTAAAGACAGAGGAATTTTTAAAAAAGCAATAAATGCCCCTGCCTGACTCCAGGGATGTTTCCAGACGTAATTACTGCTTTGAGAAGAACTTGGAAAAAATGCTAAGTTGGAAGTCACGTGTATCGCCACGATGAGTGAAATTTGCAAACACACCAGCGCACAGGAAATGGCACATATGCAGAGAAGTCTATTTATAGCAATGGAAGAAAATATTCAGAAATGCAGTCTAGCTAACCCATCTTGATTATTCACTGATGACTTACTGACATCTCTTTTAGAAAATTTGAAGACTGACAGGAGAACCCCTACAATCTGTCAGGTCAAGGTCAGCTAGCAGGAGGCACAATAGCATTTTGGAAAAGATTCTCTTGAATGTGTTAACGTTATCCTTTACAGAACCTGAGGGTAAAGGGCAGTTTCTCCAACACTGAGGCCCCGCCCAGTTGAGACCCAACGCCAAGACAGTTCAGACAGAATTAAGGCCTTACTAAAAGTCACATCTGTTCTCTTGGAAGAACTAAGGAGAATATTCCAAAGTGAGCCTGAGAAGGTGTTGGAAAATCAGTGAATCCACATTATTATGGGGGGGGGGGCAGCACAGGCGTGTTCAGAAACATCCATCAACCGTAGTCCACCATCTTCAGGTTTTGTAGAATGCAGGTTCCTTTTGGGTTTTGTGTACAGTTAACATTTCTGTGTGACATACGCTCTTAGCTACTAAATTCAACTTGAACTGCATATTCCCCTCTTGACTTCCAACCCAGGATCCAAATTAGGTATGAATCTATCGTACATTTGGTTCTTCCATGTGTTGAATGTCTTTCTTATTAAAGCTCCATGTGTAACCAAAACGCTGATCTGGGCAGAATTGGAGGCTTCAATCTTTAAATGAAGGTGGCCCATAATCCTTTGTTAGTATTCTAACCCCCCCCACTTTATTGAGATATAATTGATATACTATACATGTCACCCATTTAAAGTGTACAATTCAATGGACTTCAACCATTTAAAGTGTACTGGATTGTACAACCCTCACCACGGTCTAATTTTAGAACATTTTTATCACCCCAAAATGAAACCACATCCCCATTAGAGAGGCGTCACCACTTCCTATTTTTTTTTCCTTCCTTCCCCCAGCCACCTGCAACCACTAATGTGCTTTCTGCCTCTCTAGATTTGCCTGTTCTGGACACTTTACATACATGTTGTCTTTGTGACTGGTTCCTTTTACTTAGCACATTTCCAAGGTTCATCCCTGTTGTAACCTGTATCAGCACTTGACTTCTTTTTGGCTGAATAAAATTCCACTGTGTAGAGCTAATGCAGTTTGCTTCTCCATTCATCCATCGGTGGGTATTTGGGTTGTTTACACCCTGGGGTTATCATGAATCATGCTGCTGTGGCCATTCATGCACAGGTTTTTGTGCAGATGTATATTTTTCATCTCTCTTGGGGAGATACCTAGGAGTGGCATGGCTGGATCATATGTTAACTCCAAGCGTAATCTTTTGAGGAACTGCCAAGTTGTTCTTGCATAGTGGCTGCACCATTTTACGTTCCCACCAGCCGTGTATGAGGGTTATAATTTCTCCACATCCTTGCCAACCTCATCAGTGCCTGTCCTTGATGATAGTCATCCTAGTGGATATGAAGCGATAGTGATCTTGCCTTCCAGATTGAGTTCTATGCATGGCCTTTGGGTAGGATGGGGTCCCACAGCCAGAAGACAGTGCTGCCTTTAGAGGG